GCTCAGATGACATTGACCATAATTTCTCTGCACCTAGAACTCCACAACAAAATGGGGTTGTTGAAAGAAAGAATATATCGTTAGAAGACCTGGGGAGGACCATGTTGATTGCCAGTGGACTGTCTAAGAATCTATGGGCTGAGGCTATTAATACTCTTGCTATCTGCTAAATAGATGCATGGTTAGATCCATTCTTGAGAAAACTCCCTATGAGTTACTTCGAGGAAGAAAACCCAACATCACTCACCTGAGAGCCTTTGGGTGCAAATGGTTTGTGCATAATAATGGGAAAGAAGCTCTAGGTAACTTTGATGACAGAAGTGATGAGGGAATTTTCTCGGGTTACTCTCCACATAGTAAGGCATATAAGGTTTTTAATAAAAGAACTATGTGTACGGAAGAAATTATGTCATTTTCGATGAATCTAACAATTTGGATGAGAAAGGTCTGCAGGATAAAATTATGACATAGGATTCACTAGTGATGGAGATACAAAGGAATCTGATGAAGATGGATCTAAAAAACACAAGGAAATTGACAGTGATCATGAGGAACAAGAAGTAGAAAGAACTACTCTAACTGCTGACCAGACAAATGAAGCCGCACCTACTGAACCTGCTCATCTGGGTCATTCCTCGGGTGAATCTTCCCTGGGTATGCAGATTAGACCATAGAAGCATCAAAGCTCACACCCTCTTGAGAATATCATCTCTAATCTAAATGCAGGGGTTCAAACCAGGTCTTCTCTAAGAAATCTATGTACACTCACAACATTCCTCTCACAGGTTGAACCTAAGACCATTAAAGAAGCTCTAAAGGATCCAGACTGGATCATAGCCATGCAAGAGAAGCTAAATTAGTTTGAGACAAGCAAGGTCTGGCACCTGGTACAGAAATCCAAGAACAGAACTATAATAGGTACCAGATGGGTGTTCAGAAACAAGTTGGATGAACAAGGAAATATCACAAGGAACAAGGCCAGACTGGTGGTTCAGGGATACAATCAAGAGGAGGGCATTGACTATGATGAGACATTTGCACATGTAGCTAGAATGGAGGCTATAAGAATGCTGATAGCCTTTGCTGCTCACATGGAATTCACTTTATACCAGATGGATATAATGAGTGCCTTTTTTAATGGGTACCTGAAGGAGGAAGTGTTTGTCAAACAACCTCCTCATTTGAAAGTGAAGAATTTCCTAACTATGTGTTCAAACTGGATAAAGCTCTTTATGGTCTGAAACAAGCTCCTAGAGCTTGGTTTGAAAGGCTCTCAAAATTCCTCTTAGCTAACAACTTTTTAAGAGGAAATGGGGACAACACTCAATTTTTTAGGAGCAAAGGGAAGAATAGTCTGATTGTGTAAGTGTATGTGGATGATATTATCTTCAGGGCAACCAATGAAGCAATGTGCAAGGAATTTGCTGAGATGATGGGATGAGCATGATGGGTGAACCGAACTTCTTCCTAGGTTGCAAATCAAGCAAACACCTACTGGAACCATGATTCAACAGCAGAAATATATTAAAGAGTTCCTGAGGAAATTCAACATGGACTCCTCTAAGTATACTGATACCCCCATTTCCATTGCAACAAATTTGGACCTTGATAAAGAAGGAAAAAGTGTGGAACAGAAGCCATATAGAGGAATGATCGGGTCACTATTGTACCTCTCTGCAAACAGGCCTGATATAGTGTTTAGTGTGGGATTATGTGCAAGATTTCAAGCAAATCCCAAGGAATCTCACCTGCAAGCTGTGAAAAGAATGCTAATGTTATTTTATATGAGTCCACGAACTGTACAGAGACATGGTCCTATATCAGTTCCCACAGTGCTAACTACTGAACCAGTATGTAAATGAGACACGGGATTTTTACGTGGAAAAATCCCAAATCAAGGGGACAAAAACCACGACCTACACTGGTAGGATTTCAACTTCACTAACTTGTAAATACACTATTATAAGACACTTTGTAATGACTCTATTACAAAGGCTTCAATCACTATAACTTGTAATACACTAATCAGAAGCCACTTTGTCACTCACTAGTTACAAAGACTTCAATCACTCTAACTTGTAACACAAATCACAAGCCACTTTGTCACTCACTAGTTACAAAGACTTCAATCACTCTAACTTGTAATACACTTATCACAAGCCACTTTGTCACTCACTAGTTACAAAGACTTCAACCTCTGACTAACTCTAGTCACAACACAAACTCAGATGGTTTATGATTTTGAGTTTCCTAAAACAAAGCTTCTAAGCAAGATAGGAGTTACAATGAATAACAAATAACAAATACTCAACAAACCTAAGGACTTTAGATATCTTCAATCTTTGGATCTGGTCCTTGAGGTTGCATCGACTTTGTTTTTGAGAGAGGTTGTGGCTAGCACTAAAAAGAATATCACTGAATGCTCAAGTATATCTTGTGCCTTACACCATGTTGTTATACTACCAAAGACATCCCAAGTATTATGTCAATTCTTGGTTGGTACACGTCTCTTCCCAATGGGAAGTGACTGCTGCATTGTCTGTTGCACTGTTGTAGGCAGTCACTTTCTGCAGTTGCTTTCCAGCTGTATAGTTGACTTATACTTTTGTCAAGGGAACACCTAGGGATCAGGTCCCTAATTTGGTTCTTGTGAATCTAAAGGCACACTGCCCAGATTATCTTGAGTTGATTAACTTGAATGATTGTACCAGGCATGCTTCAGGTCCTTTATCTAGTTCTATATAGAAAGTTTATTAGATCATCAAAACATAGATTAAAAGACCTTAAGCACATCAATTTCCCCCTTTTTGATGATGACAAATTTTTAATATTGATGACTCTTTGACTTAACTAGATAAGGTACCAACAATCGCATATGTTCCCCCTGACTCTATGCTTCCCCCTTAATTACTTGCTACAATTTCAATTTAATCGATTCTTTCCCCTTTTGGCATCAACAAAAAGACACAGTCAGACAAAACGGCATAAAGAAGTCTAACAAAGCTAACTCATGCCACATATGTGCACACAACATGATAAAAAAGTGAAGCTAAAAGGAAAACAAGCATTGTACAAGCAAAAGAAGAGCTGTTTCATTGATAAGAAATTGGACTATTTCAACAGGAGCAGCAACGGTGAAATCCAACATGCCAAAAAAAAACAACAACAGCCACAAAACATCAGAACAAGAGATAACTGGTCACTGAGAGGATCCTAAGGGGCACTAGAAGAGAAAGGCTTGGAGGAGGAGGCAGCGATGGATTTGAGAACTAGGTTCATGCGGGCATTTGCAGATAGTTGTTCCTCAAGCAGTTTCTCCCGCAGGTTCTCCACCTGTTGCCTAAGTCCAGAACTTGTCTCATACCTGCCATCTCCGAGATTTCCGGGTCAAACATGCTACCCCACAAGACTTTCTGAGTTCTCAATCTCTTCTACCCAAGGCCACTATCACTTGGAATGGTCGTCATTGAACCAGGTCCTCCCACAGCTTCCCGTTTTCATTTTTTAGACATTTCCACAAACTTCCCATTCCTGCTTGCAACAGCCACAGTATCACCTTCAGACAAATCTTTCTCAACCACAACCTTCTTAGATTTACCACCACTCTTCATAGATGTTCCACTTTGTTTTTCCACAGCTTCCTCTGAAGCCTCCAGCACAGACTTTTGGACTTCTGTAGATCTTTTCACTAAGGAACTAGGTTCCGCCACAGCATCTTCATCAACCTCAACCACTGGAATGTGTTTGTCAGCCACAACTTCCCCCTATTTAGTCAACCTCTTCTTCTTCTTCTTAATACTCTGCTTATTCTTCTGCAAGGGAGACTCAAAAGCCTTGTTCTTCTGCAACCTCCTGGTTTGTTTCAGATGAAAGAGAATCAGGTTCTCTAACAGGTTTTTCTGTGACGATGTCATCAACCAGAGACTTGAAAATCACCAGAGTCCTTTCATCCTCTAAGAATGAAGTTTGTTCCCCCTGAGATTCAGGCAGAGGGGGAAGCTCCTTCATTCATAAGACTCTCAGCAGCAATAGCCATGATATCTTGTGCCGCTTCCTTTTGGTGACTCCATGGGAGCCACTGAGTCTAGAACATAGGAGTTCAAGTACTGATCGGGATCTTCCTCAGATACCATTGATACCTGAGGAGTAGCACTTTTGGTTTGTTCAGAAAAAGGAGGAGAAGTAGGGTTTTCAACACATGGAAGTGAGACAGGGTTTGTCGGAGGAGTAGAGGTGATTGAGATAAACAGGAAACCGGTATGGGTACAGTAGTATCAGGGTTAGTGAATAAGTGGGTTTCTGGTGGTGGAGATGTGGTAGTGGTGTTGATGGCAGGAGTAGGAGACGATTCTTCGTTGTCCATGGTGAGAGAAGTGGTAGAGAGCTCTAAAGGAAAAAATAAAAAGATGCAATGGGAGATAATGGTTCAGAACTGCTGGTATGAAAAGTCGGATGATGTGGCAGTTGAATTAATTTTGCTATCTTTTTGAAAAAGCATGCGAAAAACACATTACTACTAACCTGTGGTACAGGAACCAGGTTCCTAACCTGTTTTTTTAAAAAGGGTTTTGCAGCTCTCTTCCGCAGTTCAACACTGTACCTTTAGCTTCTATGATCATCATGCGTGTTTACCTTCAACGGTATAGATATGAGTTAGGCCTAGTCATAAAACACTTTAGCCAATTATACCTTAGTGTGACTATCATAGTCATGTCAGCAGAACCAGGTTCTCCATTAGGTTTAGGTAACCCTAGTGCCATCCTGTTTCTCTCAAAGTGTTCCCTGCTCAGAGCTTTGGTGAAGATATCTGCAATTTGATCTTCTGTGCGACAAAATCCCATACAAATAAGACCCTTTTCCACATTGTCCCTAAGAAAATGGTGTCTGGCATCACTATGCTTGGTTCTCTTGTGTTGAACCGGGTTCTTTGCCATGTTGAGAGCACTGGTGTTGTCACACAGAAGCGGTTCACAATCAATGTATATACCAAAATCTTCCAATTATTGCTTGATCCGTAGTAACTGAGCACAGCACGAGGTAGCTGCAACATATTTTGCTTCAGTTGTTGAGAGAGATACTGAGTTGTGTTTCCTTGTACCCCATGAAATAAGACGTGATCCAAGGAAATGAGCCATTCCAGATGAGCTTTTCCTGTCCACCAGATAGCCTGCATAATCAGCGTCATCATAACCAATAAGGTTGAAATTGTCACCTGAAGGATAGTACAAAACCAGGTCCTGTGTGCCTTTAAGATATCTCGAAATTCTCTTAGCAGCCTTCAGATGAGATTCCTTAGGATTTGATTGGAATTTTGCACATAATACCACACTAAATACAATGTCTGGCCTGCTGGAAGTAAGGTAGAGTAGAGATCCAATAATTCCCATGTACATTGTTTGATTTATAGGTGATCCAGAATCATCCATGTCTAGCTTAGTAGCAGTAGCAATAGGGGTATCAATCACCTTTGATGCTTTCATATCAAACCTTTTCAAGAGTTCTTTGATGTATTTCTGCTGACTGATACATGTTCTCTTTATGGACTACTTCACTTGAGGACCCAGGAAGAAGATCAGTTCCCCCATCATACTCATATCAAACTCGTTTCCCATGAGTTTAGCAAAATTTTCACATAATGAGTCAGCTGTAGCCCCAAATATGATGTCATCCACATAAACCTGAACAATGAGCAGGTTCCTTCCCTGTTTCTTCAAAAATAATGTATTGTCAATCTTTCCTCTTGTGAAGCCATTTTCCAAGAGAAACTTGGATAGTCTCTCATATCAGGCTCTAAGGGCATGCTTCAATCCGTACAGTGCCTTATCCAATTTGAATACATGTTCATGATGTACATGACATTCAAAACCTGGAGGTTGCTTGACATAGACTTCTTCCTTGAGAAAACCATTCAGGAAGGCACTCTTTACATACATTTGGAATAAGGTGAATTCTATATGTGATGCAAAGGCAATGAGGATCCTAATATCTTCCATGCGAGCTACTGGGGCAAAAGTCTCATCATAATCGATCCCTTCCTCTTGATTGTATCCTTGGACAACAAGCCTTTCTTTGTTCCTTGTAGTATTTCCATGTTCATCCAGCTTATTCCTGAATACCCACTGGTCCCTATGATGGTTCTGTCTGAGGGTCTAGGTACCAGGTACCATACCTTGTTTCTTTCAAATTAATGTACTTCCTCTTGCATTGCAGTAATCCAGTCTGCATCCTTCAAGGCTTCCTTGACAGTTTTGGGTTCTATTTGGGGTAGAAATGCTGAGAAGGCTAAGGAATTTATGGTTTTGATCTTGTCTGAACTCCAGAATCAAGGGGTGATTGTATTATCAAGTGGATGGGAGCTTTTGTGTTTCCAATTTGGGACTGAAGTTTGATTGGTAGAGGAACTGGGTAAGTTAACTGGATTTCCTTGCACTCCTTGTTCTGTTACTTGTGGAGTGCCTTGCACTGCATCTCCAACTCTTTCTTCAGCTTCAGTGGTAGTAATTCGGGTACTAGGTTCCTCTTGAGAAGTGGAAGAAGATGTTACATTGTCTTCACCTGTGTCCTTCATCTGGCTCATCGTATCAGCCTTTCCATTTGAGACATCAGATATTTCCCTAGGAACTAAAAGTGGTTCATTATCTTGATCATCACTGTTTCCTTCCTTGTTAGAAGAGGGTGTCATTGAATAACACATGAACACTTTCTTCCACACATTGTGTACTTTTGTTGTAGACTTTGTAGGCTTTGCTTTGAGAGGAATATCCTAGAAAGATCCCTTCGTCGCTTTTTGCATCAAACTTCCCAAGCTGGTCCTTCTCTTTGTGGAGAACATAGCATTTGCATCCAAAGGTTCTCAGATGAGTTATCTTTTGTTTTATTCCATTGAGCAGCTCATAGGGGGTTTTGTTCAGGAGGGACTTGATCATACACTTGTTCACCAAGTAGCACGCAGTGATTATTGCCTCTGCCTAGAGATTTATGGCGATTCCACTGTCAATGAGCATTGTCCGTGCCATGTTTTCCAGAGTTCTGTTCTTTCTTTCAACAACACCATTTTGCTGTGGATTCCTTGGTGCTGAGAAGTTGTGAGTTATTCCATTTTCATTACAAAACTCATCAAATTTGGCATTGTCAAATTCTGTCCCGTGGTCAGATCTGATGCATGTTACCTTCAATTTCATCTTCACTTGGATCTTCTTGACAAGGACCACAAATATCTCGAAGGTCTCATCCTTTGTTCTAAGGAACAGTGTCCAGGTGAATCTTAAATTTGACAGACCAGGAACCAGGTCCTTCTGAATCAATTTATTTAGAAGTAAGAAGCTTGCATGCCCCAATCTTCAATGCCAAAGTTCTGCATCATTATCAACTACCTTCAACCAACTCATATCACCAGCTTGTAGAGATTCAAAGTCCGCAATGTAGATGTTCTTGTATCTTCTAGCTTACTAAGACCACTTCGCCAGTTACCAGATTGGTAACTGTGCACGCTTTTGATAAGAACTCTACTTTGTTCCCTTTATCACAAGTTTGAGAAACACTCAAGAGACTGTACTTCAGGCCATCCATATAGTACAAATTCTCAATTAAGTGCGAAAGAGACTTTCCAACTTTTCCAACACCGAGAATGTACCCCTTTTTCCATTTCCAAAGGATACATTCCCTCCCTGCAGGGCTTTTAGTGAGAGAAAATCCATGGTGTTTCCAATCATGTGCTTTGAGCATCCACTGTCCATGATCCATTATAGTCCGCTTCCTCTCACTGTTCCCTACACATATAAATTATGGGTTAGATTTAGGAACCCAAACTAGTTTTGGTCCCTTGTAATGAGAAAAGGGATGAATAAGAGCTTTTCTTGTCCATGCAGGCAATATTCATTTTTTGTGAGTGGTACCTGGTCCCTCTTTAGTAGTCATTTTTTTAGCAAACACTTTGTTCTTTTGAACAGATTGAACCCTGGCCTGGCAATTTTCTTTGAAATGCCCATTGTTCCCACAGTGGGTACAAAGCCAGTTATCGGGAACTGTGACGTACTTATTGTGAGGGTTGTAAGGAGTTTTCTCCTTTTGGAGCCCGATTCCCTGCCTGTTTCCACTATTATTGAAGTACATGGCAGTGACAGCATCTGAGGACCAGGTCCACTTGAGTGATTTCTCAAGATCAATTTTTACTTTCATCAATTCAGCTTGAAGCTGCCTATTTTTCTCAAGTTCACCACATAGACTAGTTCTCACATCATTTAATTCCTTTTCAAGTTTGATGTGTGTCTCACTAGCTACTCCCTTACCTTTTTCAATACTTACATGCCTATGTTCAGATTTGAGTCCCTCAATGGTTTCCTCTAGATCTGTGATAACCACCAAAAAGTCATCCCTTTCTTGCTCAGTATCAGCAATTTTCTCTTCATGGGCATTCTTTTCTTTGCTTACGTTTTTTATGGTTTCCTTCAAGTCAACAACCACTACCATCAAGTCATCTCTCTCATTTTCTACACTATTTATTTTCAGTTAGATCTTCCTTTTCTTTTTCAAGATTAGCTATGGTCTCATTTAAATCCTCCACACAGACCACAAGATCATCTCTAGATTGTTCAGCATCTCCTAGCTCTATGGTCAAGGCCTCCTTATCATTATCAAGACTATAATATGCATCAATTAAAATATTTGCTAGAGACATCAATCTCTTAGAGGAATAGGACTTCAGATTTCTCTGAACATCCCTAAAATTTACCTCATCATTTTCATCATCAGACTGAGCCATCAATGCAAACAATGAGTCATATTCATTTGCTTCAGTTTCCACTACCATCATGGAGTTGTTTTCTACATCTGGTTCCCCTTCTAATTCATTGGAGGAGTCTCCCCAAACAGCAAGAGCTTGCCTCAAAACATTGTCAGCTGCACTTTTTCGGCTAAATCGTTTGTCAGGAACCGGGTTCGTTTTTGCTGCTTTGTCAGAGTTTTGTTTGTAATGCTCATGTTTCAGAAGTGGGCAGTCTTTGATGAAATGCCCTGGCTTTCCGCACTTGTGACAGCGATCATTATTTTTTGGTTTGCTTGTACTACCTATCTTAGGTATACCACCATTTCTTCGAACCATCTTTTGAAATCATGTAGTGAGATAAGCCATATCACTATCTTCTTAACTTGAGTCATTCTTTTCAGCCTTGAGCACCAGGTTCTTCTCCTTCTTCGGCTCTCTTCTTTCACTGTCTTTCTTTTTTTTCATCTCGTATGCCTTCAGACTTCCAATTAGCTCATCCATGGTTAGAGTTTGTAGATCTTTAGCTTCAGTGATAGCATTCACCTTACTCTCCTAAGAGCCAGGTAGAACACTGAGAACCTTCCTTACAAGCTTGTTTCTGGGAATAACATCTCCAAGTGAATGAAGCTCATTTATAATAGATGTGAATCTAGTGTGCATATCTTGTATAGACTCATCATCCTACATCCTGAAGAGCTCATACTCGGTGGTGAGCATGTCAATCTTAGACTGTTTAACCAGAGTAGTTCCTTCATGTGCCGTTTGTAAAGCTTCCCATATTTCCTTGGCAGAATCACATCCTGAGATTCTATTGTACTCATCAGGTCCTATACCACATACCAAGATTTTCTTGGCACGAAAGTTCTTTTCTACAGCTTTTGTGTCAATATCACTGTACTCTTTTCTGTTTTTTTGCACCATCGGTCTAGTTTCTCCAAGCTTCTTCATAGGAACATGTGGACCATGACAAATAACGCCCCACAGCTCTGAGTCTTCTGCCATTATAAAATCATGCATACGAGTCTTCCACTAGCCCTAATACTGACCATTGAATCTAGGGGGTCTGTAGGCTGATTGTCCTTCCTCAAAGTTAGGTGGAGCAGCCATTAAGATCCTTTCTAGGTGTTAACCTTTTAGAAAGAACCTGCTCTGATACCAATTGTTAATTTATATGAGTCCACCAACTGTATAGAGACATGGTCCTATATCAGTTCCCATAGTGCTAACTACTGAACCAGTATGTAAATGAGACATAGGATTTTTACGTGGAAAAATCCCAACTCAACGGGACAAAAACCACGACCTACACTGGTAAGATTTCAACTTCACTAACTTGTAACTACACTATTACAAGCCACTTTGTAATGACTCAATTACAAAGACTTCAATCACTCTAACTTGTAATACACTAATCACAAGCCACTTTGTCACTCGCTAGTTAAAAAGACTTCAATCACTCTAACTTGTAATACACTTATCACAAGCCACTTCATCACTTACTAGTTACAAAGAGTTCAATCACTCTAACTTGTAATACACTTATCACAAGCCACTTTGTCACTCACTAGTTACAAAGACTTCAACCTATGACTAACTCTAGTCACAACACAAACTCAGATGGTTTGTGATTTTGAGTTTCCTAAAACAAAGCTTCTAATAAAGCAAGATAGGAGTTACAATGAAGAACGAATAACAAATACTCAACAAACCTAAGGA